TCTTTCTCTCTCATTGCGGTGGGGATGGGTAGAATCCGATAAAGTTGATATTGAACGGGGTGTAGTGTCTATATTTTTGGCCCCTCCGCCTGAGCTTTGTGTGGTTTTGCCTCTCGATCTTGTGTGAACTGATTCATGTACGGACGGATTTAATGGGGGATTGAATTGATAGCTGAGACCTTTAGCTGAGGTAACCCCACATGCCTTGCCTAGATCAGTTATGTTGCTGTCTGGTCATACGGGATTTGTTATTCTCTTTGAACCACACAAAGACATGCTCATGCCCCACAAAAGGGATGGGTTCGAGGGAACACAGGTTTTCCTTGCTTTAATCAATGAATCCCCTGACCTTGTTTTTCAACTTGGATATATAAAGATCATAGAGTCAAGGACACCAACTGGAAGGAACGCCTAAGTCAAGTGAAATTATGTTTTAACCTTTTACTAGATAGTTAGTGATCGTGGGAAAAAGTTTCAAGTTAAAATGGCTCTACATATTCTGAACATGAACCATTTGACCAAACCAACTAGATGCTTTTAAAATTGACAACTCCCTGACTGTAAGCATGCGTAAGTTATGGTGGCTGGTAATATTAATATTCCACATTTGCTAGAATTCGATGGTTGTGGTATCTTACAACCTATGCGTATTACTTATATTTTTTTGAAGATATCCTTTTCAAAACAAAATTCAGAGCAAGATCACCATGAGCTCAAACATAAAACAATACATCTTGAAAGGCCAGTCGAAGCAGTTTTAAGCTAACATCATCCTTGATGTAGTTTATAGAAATGTGAACTATGTGTTCTCCGCTCTCATGTCTCTTGACTAGAAAGGTTATGATTTTATCATCATCTCACAATGCTTAGGAATCTAAATCTAAGTAACGCATAGATTTCAGGATTATATTTTTCCTTGAAAGATACACTTTCAAGACAAAACCCATTATGAGATCATGAATATGAAGATAAAACAATACATCTTTAAAAGTTAGTCATATAATAGATTTAAGCCAATATCATTGATTGCTAACTAAATCGACGATGTTTCAGTTTTTATTTAGCCCCATCTAAAACGAGGTTGAAAAGTGGAAACCCATTAGTCTTATTCTTTTTAGATACGTAACGAGAATCTTCGTCTCAAGTTCCCATGAAATTCGTCTCAAGATTTTCTCATTTCCTATCGTGTAGACTTTTTTTCTCCCCCGTAAAATAAAGTGGTGTGGATATGATAATCGAGTTGTGAGAAAACAATCATTTCATTTTTTATTCCGATTCAAATGTGGGTATTGTAAGAATCAAGACAAGAAGAAACCAATATTGATCCCGTACCTATCCAGTAACTAGTAGTGTATTGTAGGTGTTTTATGTGTGTTGAATCTAGTTTTTGGGAATGTAAAAAAAAAAATATTTACATTGTCAGAAATTTTTCAGTATTATCATTACTTGATATAATAGTTTAAACTTTAAAATTTTCAATTTAATTCTTTAATTAATATTTAGTGATCCTACTAAACTCATCATCTAAATTATAGATTTTATTAGATCAAATTATTTTATTTTATTTTATTATAAGATAAAAAATATAAAAAATAATTTATTATCAATATAATATTAAAGAATAAAATTTAATAAAAACCCCACACTAAATATTGAAATTAAAAAAAAAAACCAAAAGATATAAAAAAAGAGCCAAAAGATCTCGACCCGACTCTTTGATTAATATTTAGTAAACTCGATTCACAATCTGAGTTATAAGTTCCATTAGATTAAATTATTTTTATTTTATTTTATTATATAATAAAAATACAAAAAAGTAATAATATACCATCAACCCAATACTTAAATGATAAAATTCAATAAAGACCCCTGCCACACTAAATAATAAAATTAAAAAAAGTAATTAAAAGATATAAAAAAGAGCCAACAAATCTCAAACCATCTCTTTGATTAATAGTTAGTCAACCCGGCCATCAAACTTATAATTTGGATTATAAATTTCACCGGATCAAATTGTTTTTTTTTAATTTTATTATATAATAAAAAATATAAAAAATAATTTATTATCAATTCAATATTAAAAAATAAAATTAAATAAAAACACTATATTAAATTATAAAATTGAAAAAAAAAACTAGAAAAAAACCCAAACAAAAAAAAAACCAATAAAAAAACATGTATTGTAAGATTGAAATCCATGAACTTAGGCTATCTTGTGTGCTTCAACCATCTAAATTACAAGATGAATTTGATATAAAATACTTAAAATAACATATTACAATTTACTAGTTTTTTTCTTCTAAAAAGAAGTAAATCAATCGAAAGGAGGCAGAGAGGTAAAAAATCTCGTGTACAATACATAAATTTAAGATTGCCTGGTTTCGAGAACGAGGCCGAAATCCCCGAGACCTACTTTATGTGGCAATTAAGGCCTAGACTTCGTACAGAAGATAATAGCTTGTAAGGTCTTGAAGACATTAAACAAGGCTCAAGAGCTATTGACGAGGGAGTTAAAATGATCCATTAGAAAGATGATTTTGAACGTAACAAGGTTCTTGAGTGGAAAGGAATGTTCAAAGTTGAGTCCACCCCTTTTTTCTTTTTGTTTTTCCTGATAAAGACCAATTAATCACTAAAATTGCAAGGAAAGGAATGTTCAAAGGAAGGAAACAAACCAACCCAGAAAGCCCACAAATGGCTTGACCATTTTCTCTCCAAACATTGTCAACTGCAATTACTATTATCGTTATTAATAAACTAATAGATCTTGGAAAACAGTGTATATACAGAGAGATAAACTGTTAGAACAGTGTAACTATTTTGTTATTGAACTAGCTATGGAATTAGTTTGGTCTTTTCACAAATATCATTTTAGTTATTATTAGATTGATTGAAGAAATTTGATCATTTTACATTTTCAAATCACAATAAAATGACTGCATTCTCTTAAAAGTAGAATTTTAAAACGGACTCTCAAATGTTTTTTTATATTTTCAATCTGGTTTTTTAGCTATATTCAAATTGAATAAGGAATAATTTGATGATATTTTAACAAATATTAAATTCAATTAAAAGCCCAAAATTATCTTTTGGTTTCTGCATTCCAGCAATAGTTATTTTTTTTGTTTTAGGGTTTCGCTCACGAGAGAGAAGGGAAGGAGAGTGGGAAGAGGGTGGTCAATTTGTTGTGTTCCTTCGGGTTTTTTAAGGTGGGTTTTTTTAGGGTTTGCTTGGGTGTGAGGCAGTTAGGATGGGATCTTGGTGTTTTTATTTTGGGATTGGGCTATGTGATTTGTTGGTTTGGGATACGAAAAGGGTGGTCATTTTGTTATGTTACTGTGGGTTTTTGAGGGTGGGTTTGTTCGGGGTTGGCTGGGGTTTTGAGGCAAGTTCGTATGGGGTGGGATTTTGGTGTTTTGATTTCAGGGTTGGGTTCTATGGTTTGTTGGTTTGGGATGTGTGAACCGCCATTGATGTTTTTATTTCTCACGATGTTTTTATTTCTCACAATGTTTTTAAATGATAGAGTGCAACGCTTTTTTGTTTCGTCATTTTCCCTCTACTAAAAAGGTCTTCTCGCATTTATAAATGTTGTTTTTATTGCGGATAGGAGGCTGTAATAAATTTTATAATTCAGGTTAATTACAATAGTAATTTTATTGAATTAAAAGAAATTAGTTACAAAAAACTAATTGAAAAAGGTCTTGTTTTATAGAGAATTAAAATTTTATAATAATTAGACTTTGAAAGAAACCTTATGATATGGTCTAGAAGTTACTATATAAATTGAGCATTATTTATTAAGACATGAACTTTATTATTTTATTTTAAAAATACTTTAAACTTGTTTATATTTGGGTTTTAATTTGATCCTAATATTCTAGTAATGTTTGTTTTGTTGAACCATAAATTCTTCATGTGGTTTGTAACTTAAAAAAAAAAACATTGATCTCATAAATAAAGTATTGGAGAGGATTTTTTTTTTTTCATTGAATTATTCAGAACTTATCACCTCTTGTGGAAGAGAGGAAGGCACTAAGACCCGCTAGAAGGACTCTAAGGGAAGAAAGAAAGCCGTCCTAGTGAGGTGCAATGCTGAAACTGTGATCGGTAAACAAACCCTACAGAAGTCGGAATGGGATACTTTGTGGTGTTCAACTTTTATAATTTTTGTTGTTAGTTTGTTATAATCTATAGGTTGAAGTTTTTATTCAATAATTATAATTTTTTGATTCATATAATTACTTAGATCAAATTTTTTTTAACTTGATAGTAGCTTTTGTAGCTTTTTAAGTTAGGATTTAATTTTGTTTGTCAGTTATAAGATTTTTTATTTATTTATTTACGTGGGGTGTCCGGGCCAGCTTGCACGCACCACGATTAATCCCCACCGCCCACTGAATACCCTGCAAACCCAGTAGACATGTAAGGCACCGCGGGGGTGACAGGCATGCACACCAGGACTCGAACCCAGGTACAGTAGAAGAAGACAAGCCCCTTCCACCACTAGGTGAAATACTGGAATACAATCAAATATTAAATTGGCATACGTTACAATGATGGAAGGGTCACTCTGACATGTTCTTGTAATCTATATACTCTTAACGCTTAAATACTGTAGAATAAAAGGAACTCACTACTACTAGACATTTTGAAGATGTTGATGATAGGTAGCGAGGAGGGTCTTTCATCAACGAATAGTGCAATCCATTCCTCTATTGTTTTGGAGGATTTGCTTTCGAAAGACCAGTTTTAATGGCTGTCACCATCATCAAGATATATTGCAGACAAGGATATTCGATTAGTACTATTGTTATCTTTTTATTATACTTATAACTCTATTTGTTGTCTTAATAAAATACCATTTCGCATCTATAGTTCAACGGTTCAATTTGTTGGTCCATTGATTCGAGCAGCCATAAAAATTTGCGATCCAATCAATATGTTTTACTTTAAATTAATATTTTTTAATACTTTTAATATTAAAAATACAAAATATCTGAAGAAAAATAATGCATAATCAACACCTATTTTTCTTCCCTGATTACTTCTTTCTTTCCAAAATTTACAGCCTAAACATCATCATATCACAATATGAACACGCTTTTTTCCTACTGAAACGTACGGTTACCCTACAAACTCCTTCATTCTTTTTAGATATTTTCACAAAGCCGATAACTCGGGCTGCCACAGCAATCCCGAAATATCGGCCGGTACCGAGTTCTCGTCCGAAAAATCAAACAACCCACCCAACGCCACAAAATCTCCGTTATTATCACAATAATTATGATTTCCTTCCGTGTTACCAACGAGCCCAAGCTCAAATGAGTCATAACTCGCTATCTCATCCTCAAACCCTAGCATCTCAACAAAACCAACAGTTCCAGGTCCCTCCTCCGCTGGCAAAACGGCGACAGCGGCGGCGTCTTTCTCCTCGCCAACAGCAAACGTCGGCGGCAAGCCAAGCTCGTCATCCGAGGCCTCTAGGAGGTAACCAAGGTCCGTTTGGGAACCACCAGAATCTGACGACATATCCAGCACCGGAACCCCTACGTGAATCTCCTCTTCAAAACTTTTTATAACAGACTCCAGCCCCTGAACGACTGGCTCATCCGAATCATCGAAGATGCTGAGCAAATCTTCACGGACCTCAACCAGTTCATCTCGGTCAGGTTCCAGATCAAGGGGCGAGTTAGCCTCCGAGTCCACCCGAGCTAGTTTAACCTCGGGAGAATCGGAACTCGAGACGCCCAACTCATCCCGGGTTCGTTTCTTTCTGTTTCCTTGATCCATAATAAGGTCTTAAACTATGTCTAAGACGGGAGACAAAGAAATCGAAAATCTAGAAGAGGAATGATTATGTCACAAGGAGGACAACGTTGAGTTTGGTTATTGCAATAAAAATCTGAAGAGAACAGGACAGAAGAGACGTGTCTAGAGAGAGAAAATACGAGAGTGTTTGGCCGGCAAGAAGGTTTCTAGAGAGAGAACATACGAGATGCTGGACGAGAAGCAAAGAGAAATGAGAAGGGTATATATAGCAGTAGAAGAAAGAAATTCGGTTAAAATTATTATTATCAGGAGAAGGAAGTGAAAGGGCAGCGTGTAGAGCGGAGGAGGTTTAATGGACCCCACACCACGGGGCCTCTGTCCTTTTCTTTGTTTTCCTTTTTTATTTTTGGTTTCTGTGGGGGGGAATTTGTGGATTTGCTTTTTCTCTGCACTTCTAACAATTAACTATATTTAAACTATGGCTTTCAAGTCCGATGGTTCCGGGCCGACCAAGGGGAACATGTGCGTATGGGATTCGTGGGATCTTGTGGACTCCGGATTTTGTTTTGCTGCCTTTTTTGAATTTTTTGAAGGTTTTCTTTAATTAGAGTTTTTACTTTCTTTTAGGTCAAGACTACCAATCCATGGTTTAATGTTTTTGGCTGACCATATCTTGTGGAGATAGATATTCTTCAAGCAGTTCGATATTTGGTGTTCATGGACCAAATTCTAATTTGCCATTTTTGGACGGAAAAAGGTTGTGGGCCTCGTTGGCAAATGATACCAAGTTAACAAGCATAATACATATAACGTAATTTTATATACTTGTTTTAGCTTGATGAGTTAACCAACCCATCTCTCAATTTATATTTATAACCTAGTTTGAGTCAACGAAAAAAATTCATTAATTTTTTTTAGTAAAATAAAAACGTTTTGATTTTTCACTTATACCTTTTATATAAATGTTAATGATAATAAACTTTATTAGTATCATTAATTTTTCAAATAAAAACTAACTAATCAAGTTTATATATATATATATATATATATATATATATAACTTATTAATATCATTAGTTTTCCAAACCAAGAATAACTAATTAAATTTAAAAAATATCAATATCAATATAACTCATTCGTATCATTAGTCGACTAATTAGGTTTAACAAATATTAAAACTAATATAACTCATTGGTATTATTAGTCTTTCAAACATGAATTGACTAATCAAGTTTAAAAAATATTGATACTTATCATTAGCTAATAAAGTTCATTAGCATTGTTTTTTGTCCACTTTGTTATTGCCAATATCAATGTATTTGTTGATATCATTAACTTTATAATTTGTTAAATACAATTCAAAAGAGAATTTCTCTATTAACTTGTTATACTGAATAAATATGTAAAAAAAAAAAAACTAATTAATCAACTAGGAGATACGATGTTGAGATGAAAATGCATATTAGTTTATAAAAGAACCATTAATTAAACAATTTAAGAAATTATACAACATAGTATCAATTTTTTTTAAAAAAAATATTAGCCTATTATCTAGGGTTCTAATTCTGTTAACCTAATTTTCATAATTGCCTATCTAATAGGGCATCAATCTCAAACTAGAAAACTATTTCTACCAATCACCCACTCTCAAGGTGCTAGTTTTAGCACCAGGTAGTTGGTCCAATCAATAGCTCATTCACAAGGCACCAGTCTCAAACCAATAAACTAGTTCAACCAATATTCATATAATAAACATAAATATTAGAAGTTTTTATGTGCATTCTACAAGAACCTTAATCAAGAATTTATAAGAGACTTTAAAATAATTGTTTAAAATACCAATCATCTACCTGAAATCTGTGCTCTACTAGTCGTCGCTCGTTACTGTTTGGTGCTCACGGTCTCTGATTAACACTTAAAAATGTATTTTTATCAAGGTTTTATATGATCATTTTGTACTTGAAGTATCAATAACTCCTTAACTAAAGCATGTTTTATAATAACAAGTCTGATACCATAAGGTACCTTTAATTTATGGTAAATATTCATCCTAAATGTAGGCCTATTACATAAATGAAAGGATTGATTGATGAGTTGAAGTATTGAAATTAAAAGGACAAAGAAAGAGCCAAACTTAAAAAAGAGATGATGGTTCAACCCAAACTAGAACACTGTTTGGTTATTGTGTCATATCTAAAGCTATAGATCTCAGACTTAAGTATTCTTTATATAGATGGAAAGCTATGACATAGGCCTAAATTTTTTATAGGAAGTCAAGACTCAATTTTGCTATATAAAAGTTCAAATCTTAGCAACAATGTAAAAGTCTGAATCTATCCTACAATCCATATACTGTTCAATGTTCAACCCATATCTCGATTTTAGATATCCAAATGACCTCAATTTTTTTCCTGGAAAGCTGAGACAATTTCCTAGAACTTTTACATGAAAGGTTGGTTTAAATTCTTACGTCATCAATGAGATTTTATTCAGACAAGAAGATAAAGATTGTCACCAAGTTAAGATGTGGCCACCCACTTAACAATTAATTATTAAATCAATAGTTCTAAATTTTAGCCTATAAAAGAAGGCATTTGTCATGCAATAGACATGTTTGTTTCCAGATCAAGATCTCTTGCTTTCTCTCATTGTACTTTTGTAATGCTTAAGTTTTGCTTTCATTAATATCTTGTTTGTACCTTTCAATTCCTTTCCTTTACTTAGTTAACTTTTATCTTATTTATATTCTTATCTTGTTTATTTATATTTGTCACTTTCATTATGTTTAGTTAAGTTTATTATATAAAGGTGAAAAAATTATACTAATAGTGTAAGAATAAGTATAGTGTAAACTCAACATGAACTTTAATGTTTGATACTAACATGTTTTGTATTTGTTATCTTGTTCACTCTTAATACTTTGTTTGTTAAATGATTAATCTAGATTTTTGTTGTATAACACTTGGGACAACAAATATTTGGCACTTTCATAACCCAACTGTATGATTTAACCTACACTTGTGCTATAAAAGAAACTTGATTTATTGTTAACATAAGTTATAATCATGAAAGCCTGACAATATTTACAAGTATTAACATTATTTGAATAAGATAACTAATATAATCATTTTAACAATTTATGATCTGATTGGAACCTCCTTTTATGTGTGATTTTCCAGTTGAATAATAAGACTTTATATTATACTTATTTGAAATACTATTGGTGGATCCTCTAACCTTGACATTTATTGTTATTATTATTTAATCCTCATATTGATCTTTCATATCAAAGTTCTCATCAACTTCTTCTTCTTCTTCTATTATTATTATTATTATTATTATTATTATTATTATTATTATCGTTGTTGTTGTTTATAATTTATACAATTAACCTCCTTGTGATTCAACCCTAATCTTGATGAGTTATTTATTACTTTGACACTCTTGCACTTGGAAGAAGACACCAATCTTTTGGTTGTATCAATCTTATTTGTACCAATAAGTACATTTTATTAATTTTAAGCTTTGTCCATACGTACACACACTTTCCATTTTCATTCCCTCAATAATCCAACATTTTTATCTAAGAACAACTCCAAACAAACAAGAGTTAATAATTTACAACTTTTAGATGGTTCAACATAATTAACTTATAACACTATTCAATATTTTAACTATAACTGAAGTTGTAGAAGTCAGTCTTATATGTGGTTTTTTCTTTAAAAAGCTAAATATAGATCTACAACTTTTATGAAAATAACTAAACCAAGTTTTTCCATCTATATGCTAAAATTCACAAATTACAATAGCATAAACAATTAAATTACTAATTTCAATTTAGACCATTTTTCGGTGTTTATCCCATATATAGTTTTTTGTCACTTTAATTTACGCAAGATAAGTTGCGTTCGAAACGTAACATCCATATCTATAACTTTTATAATTAACATTATCTTAAATTCTATCATCTTAGTGTCCTAATATTAGTTGAGAAGCTGTCTAGTTTTTTGTCTATAACTTTTATGAAAGGTAACATCCATGTCTATAATTTTTTGTCACTTCAATTTACGCAAGATAAGCTGTCTAGTTTTTTATTTCTAAGTTAAATTGAGAGAGAAGCTGATTAGTACTTAAAAGTGTATTTTTATCAAGGTTTTATATCATTATTTTGCACTTGAAGTATCAATAACTGCTTAACTAAAGCATGTTTTATAATAATATATTTAATAATATAAGATACCTCTAATTTATGGTAAATGTTCATTTTAAATGCAGACGTATCACATAAATGAAAGGATTGATTGATGACTTTAAGAACTTAAATTGCAAGGGCAAAGAGATGACCAAACTTAGAAAAGAGATGTCGGTGCAATTCAAACCGGAATACTGTTCGGTAATTGGGTCATATCTAGAGTTATAGATCTCAGATTTAGGTCTACTTTATATAGATGGAAAGGTAAGACATAGGCCTACAACTTTCATATGGAGCGCAAGATCTAAAAAGGCCATTTTCAAGTCCAAATTGTA